AGACCTAGTCTACAAAAATGTATTCTCCAATGCAAACAAAACTAAACTGTGTCCTGCTGATGTGGCAGCCAGAAAAAGAGACCCGGTCTACCCTTAAGTCTATTTTAGACCTAAGTAGAGACCTAGTCTCTTTGCATTGGAGTAAGTTTTATTAAATTTACATACTTTTATCCATGTCATCCAAGACTTGAGTTTATTTACATGCGACATAGGCAAGACTAGACCCAATGCATAAGAGTATTGAACGGTAGAAAAGACCACGCCCATTAATGAATGGCTAGATGTGGATGCCCTTAATACTAAAATTTACTATTTTCCATTTCATTTTTCCCTCTTTCTTCTACGCACATTTATAATATAGCTAGCGTTTAAGTATTATTAAATTATTTAAGATAATATGCAATTCTAACCAACACAATATTCAATTAATTAAAAATATTAAATTTATTTAGTTACAATTACTATTATTTTAAATTTTTTGGTCGGTCTTGACTATTTAATATATATTTTATTATCTATAAGTTTATAAAATATTACAAATGTATGAGATCATATGATATTTACTTAAAAATTACATACATGTACTTATAAAATATGTCGATTATGTTAGTCTTATAACTTTTTTAACAATTAATAATTTACACATTGCTCCATAATTGACAATGTTAAAATGTTAACTTAGCCTGTGATATTTATATTCATTTGTTATAAATCTATTTGCATGAAATGTTGAAATGTTTGATAATTAAATTATATTTTTTAGTAACTTTAATCCTTATATTTGCTACAAAATTCTTTCATGGTTAAATATTTATTTTTGTTATATTTTTTTACATTTATTTTTAATTTATCTTTTAACCAATATAATGAGTTAATTAGTATCCATTCGCATATTTAGATATATTAAATATTTTTATGATTACCAAGTGTTATAATTTAAATATGATACTTGACTATTTTATTTACTTATTTTCAGTTATAAATAGTATGTAATAAATTATATTTTTTTTTTTAAAAAAAAGATGAATAGTTTTTTTAATGTACATAGATATTGTGCGGTGAAATTTATAATTTTTACTTGTATCCAAACATTAAATATTAATTTTATTAATATATTATTTTACTTTCAATGATATTTTCTTTACAAATGCTATATTCAATGGAGATTACCTTTTTATGGTTAAACTAGTGATCACCCGTGCGATGCACAGGAAAATTATTATCTATGTGCTTTCAAAAGGCAAAATTTTATATAAATTGTGTAATAACAAAATGATCATGATCATAAGAATAGACATTTAAACATATAAGTAAACTGAAAAGATCATATATTATTGAATACTTCCCTATATACAACATTATTGGTTTGATTCTTTGGCACGTCATCTTCACCACAAATTAAGATTTTCAACCCTTTTCGGTTAGTGACACGGGAGACAACAACATACAACTGGTCATGACTGAACACTGGTTTCTTAAGAAATAAGCCAACATTAGATAAGGATTGTACCTGGCTCTTGTTTATAGTCATGGCGTAAGAAACCATAATGGAAAACTGGTGCCGCTGGAACTTGAAAGGAATTCTAAAATCAGAAGGAGTTATGGACATCGTATCACCAGCATGATCTCTTGTGAGTATCTTACACTCAAGAACATGAGTGGATAATTTTGTCACAACCAATCGTGTCCCATTACACAAACCCATAAAATGATCCATGTTCCACAACAACATGAATGGAGTTCCAATCTTCAAATACAACTCATGGTTCAGTATTCCAGAACATTTGATACTATTAAAAAACTCAGGCATATGGAGATCAGACAAAAATCATTATTAGAATCCGATTTGCACGTACTATCAGAGCTCAAGTACATACGACCACAAATTCAATGATGTCATGTACTCATTGATAGACTCGACCACATCCAACGTCGGTGCTAATATAGCCCCATCCTTCAAATAACTTGGATCGTCAGGCGCCTCCTTATACATTGGATATATGCTTTCAACGATTTGAGCAATAGGATCATCAAATGGCTGAAGCAAAATGTTTTCGGGTATGTCTTCAATTGAACTAGATTTATCTCGGCTACCATCCCAATGACATCTAAACATGTGTTAAATATGAGTAAAATTATTATTTATCATGAAAATGCTAAAAAATAATTTAAATAAGTGAAAATGCAATTACCAAATAGCATTGATTCGTCGATCTTCTTGACATCAGTTAGTGTGATGAACCTTCGAAAGTCGAACGATAAATTAAAAAGTCACCCTTGTAGCTTATGTGTTCAGTTCTACCCTGTAAGATAAGCATGTATTGTGCAATGGTTGATCGGTACATTCCAATGTTACTCTCGACCTGATAGTTTCAAAATGCATAGACAACCCCTTCTTGGAATTCATTGACGAAAGTTGGAATGTTTACTGCTCTTATTATTCCTGCAATTCGACCGCCCTGCAAAAAAAAAAAAGATAATATTAGAAATTATTGTGTAATATGAGAAGAAAGAATTAATCATTAATTTAATTGTGAATCATACCACAATGTCATGAAAGACAATTTCAAGGATGTTCTTGTAGGATGAGTATTCATTAGTCCTTTGAAAAACCCGAACCACTCTTAACTTGAGCATTGGCATGTTGGTCCTTGTTACTTGCTTGATGTTTCTCCATGCTTTTGCCATTTTTCTGCTTGTCTGATTGTACGTCCAAATGGGAGTGAGTTTTTTGTAATACGTGTTGGACGTTCGGGTGTTCATTTTAAAGGCATGAGATAATAGTTGATAACCACTGAAATATGAGTTTTAATAAATTCAAACTCTGGTGGGATGATAGGATAAGTGCAAATTAGTTGGATAATAAATTAATTTCTCTATAAATAAGTTTAAATATCTCTTCGTGACAGATTTCAGTTCCCATAATTTATCTATAATTAGGTTTTTATTTATTTTAAATAATTTTAGTCAACACATGTTTTTTAAATGTTGTTTGATAATAATTGATAGCCATTAAAATAGGAGTTTGAATAATATGATGAGAAGATAAGTCCATAATTTGGATGGTTAAGCAGTGTTGATGTTTTTTCGTGTACGAAGAATTGCAATATTAACATATTAATATATTAATTATTAATTTATTTATTGATCAAAGTTGTATAATAATGTATTTTTTAAGTGGCATGAAATTTAAGTTTTATTTTATGAGATTTTTATGTTTGTTAAGTTCGATTAAAACATGTTATTGTAGTATTTTAATTTAATTGTTATTCATGTAATTGTGTTGTAGTATTTAAATTGTTATCTATTCAATGGCTTATTAATTTATTTATTGATCAAGTTGTATAATAATGTAATTTTTTAGTGGAATGAAATTTAAGTTTTATGTTATTAGGTTTTTATGTTTGTATGGATCCGATTAAAATATGTATTTGTACTGTAGTATTTAAATTGTTATTTATCCAATGGTATTTATATAGGAAACCAAATTAATTGAATGAAATTGTATAATGAGCACGTGATTACCTTTCATAAGATTAAATCAAAATAAGAGATTAATTAAAAAATAATGACCACAGTTATCTCTTTTAGATAAACTGTCCACACATTCCTATAATCTCTCTACACCATAAGTTTTTGAATTCAAAATGTGATATTAAATTGGTGTCTTTTTATCTCTCTACACCAAAATTTTGAATTCAAAATGTGATATTAAATTGGGGCTTTTTATTTATTTATTTTTTTTTTCAAATTTTCTATAATTAGAATGCCAAAGGTATTATTTTTTTGGTCAAAAGTTTCTAAAAAGGATTTAACCAACAACCTTTTTATATATAGATAGATAGTTGACTACGATTTAAGAAAAAAACATTAATATTTGAAATGGTGAATGTTTTGAATATTTTGATTATTTTAGTATATATTTTAGGTACATCTGAACGGTGAATATAATTAACTAAATATGTGTACAACCATAAATTATAATATATTTAATCAAAAAAATTTTCATACTATTATTTAATTGTGTCAATAAATTATTGCAAACTTAATATTAATATCTTACTGAAAATATATCTAAATAATCTATGGTCAAATTAATTCTATTCAAGGCGATTTATATTATCCATTGAGTACACAAGAAATAATTATTTTTTTTTTCTTTTCATTTATAAGATTTATAATAAACAAAGATTAACTAAATGTTAAATATAGAGAGAGGAAAAAAAAAAAAAAAAACTGTCTACAAACATGCCAATTATGGCAATATGAATTTATACATTGTACTCACTTAAAAATAATAATTACTGTAAGTTTATATAAAAAAAAACATGTATTCATATAGTTATATCTTTAGAAATATTTATCATTGTTTTATATGAAATTACCTATTATCATATACTATGTGATCATATACTATATCACATATAAAATTTTGATCCCTGTCCACGGTGCCAGTGCCCACCACTTTGTTTTATATGAAAAACGTATTCTGTGAATACGTTTTTCAATTAAATTAACTGAAAAACGTATTCTCAGAATACGTTTTTCATGTAAAATAAAGCCGTGGGCAGGTGAACGGGACTAATCACATATATACCAATCCTATTCCCAAAAATATTCATAAACCTATTGTTGATCAATCTCTGACTAGGGCTTGGGGTAGAGTTCTAACCGTAGTATTAAAGGGCTAAAACCGACAATTTCATAGGAAATTCAGACTTTCAACACCGTTTTTTTTCTTTCTTTCCCAAATACTCTGAAATACACAAATACAGACAACTCTGCAGACTGCAAAAAAGGAGAGAATTTCTGTCTCCCGATCACCGCTATGAATTCTTGATTCAACCGTTCATCAATTTTATTCAATTAACTTGCAGACGAACCACATTATTCTTGTTTTTCTGTGAAGCCCGCATCCTCCAACCGCCGCCTCGAACGGCGGCGTGGACTGCCCACGCTTGGGGCTGCAGAGACAACCCTCGCCGTGGGCCCGTCTCGATCAAATCCAGTTCCCCACCGCCATGGCGTCTGCGGTCTCTGTACAGCAGCCGGAGCTGGCACCCCCTTCGGATGAATTTGTGAACGGGAGTTCTGGCTCTGAAGCGCAGCCCGAGGGCTCCGATGTTAGCGGCGATGGCAGTGCGGGTCATCCGAGGAGGCCCGCGTGGAATAGGCCTATCAACGGCGATGTTGAGGGGGTTTCTGTTATGGGTGGAGCAATTTCTTGGCCCGCTCTGTCCGAATCAACCCGGCCCAGTTCCAGATCCTTGTCCGATTCAACCAGACCCATGTCCGATGGATCAGCTCCTCCATACCAGGTTAAGCCTAGGACTATTAATGCTGATTTTTTTTGTTAATTTGATTATTCTTGTTGGAGTATTGTTATTAGTTTAGTTAACTCTAGTGCAAGTTGTCAAAAACAAATTTTTTATTGAATTTGTTTTGTGGTTTGCGTTTGTGGTATGTCTCTTTGATAAGTGCGGTTCCTCATCTTCTAAATGTGTAATTTATTCACTGCATTCGTTTGGACCTTTGGTTAATGGTTCACATATGTAGAACTTTGAGTTTCTGTCATTTGAGTATTTGGTTAGTTTGGTTCATTGGGTAAAATCTGATTGCTGCCGATTATTTTTGGATACAATTAGATGTGGATGCCTTATTCGTCACACAATCATTGGTGATCTGGAGTTGTCCGAGCACATTAAATTCATAATGATTGACAGTTGAGATTTTCCAAATTTGAACAAGAAATTTCGCATGCTCTTTGTTGCTCTTAAGTAGGGACATACAATGCTAATCTCAGTCTTGATGAGCTTTTCCATCTTTCTAACAAACAGTGTGCGTCGCATGCCCTTTATTCCTCTCAAGTAGGGACATACAATGCCAATCTCAGTCTTCACGAGCTTTTCCATATTCGAATAAACAATGTGCTTCACATGCTCTTTGTTGCTCTTAAGTAGGGACAAACAATGCGAATCACAGCCTTCATGAGCTTTTCCATATTCTATCAAAAAATGTGCGTCGCATGCTCTTTGTTGCTCTTAAGGAGTGACATACAATGGTAATCACGGTTTTCACTGCGTTTCATAAAACGTCTTTTGTTTGACAGGCTCCTCCTTTACTATCTCAACCGCCTCAGAGACAAGTTAATCCACATAGCCATGCCAATTCGTCTGCAAACAACACGAGCAGAGCAAGGTCAAGGAATCGTGGTGGTGGGCCTTCTCATAACAACTTTGGTCGGCCATCTCCACCAGCACCACCCCTCTTCCCCGTTTTCCGTCCAATGGTGGATACTGGGGCAAATCAGGGAGCTGGAACTGCTCCAAGAACCCCTTCAAGGAGGGGTCATAATTACGGGCCCCGGCCACGAGGGGATGGGCCCCACCACAATAACTACGGAGGCCGGCGCCATCAGGATCGGAGGGGGGCAAATTTTTCTCCCCCATCTTACATGCCTCAACATTCTCCCATGTCATACATGCCGCCTCCTCTACCCCCGGGGGTTCCTCCCTTTATAGGCCCCCCACCAGTGAGGGTTTTCCCAGGACAAATGGGGTTCGGTGAGTGTAACTAAGTGTGTTAAGATAATTTAAGTTGGCACTGTTGTGAAATGTTGGAATATGTGTTGACCTTTTCATTTTTTGTTTTATTGAAATTAGAGATGACATCTCCTTTTGTGTATGTGCCCTCGCCGCCTTTGGGTCCGGAGTCCTTCAGGGCTATGCCGGTTGTACCGCCACCAATGCCTATGCTTTTTCCTCCAGCTAATGAGAATACGTTGACAAATATGATTGTCAAGCAAATAGATTATTACTTCAGGTATGCTTTTTTTCTTTTGTCTCGCTGGTTTTTGAGTTCGAGAAACTGTTGTTGTTTTGGGTTCTTACTCTGTTTTGCTTTTGAACCAAGCTTAATCTGGATATTTGTCACAGTGATGATAACTTGGCGAAGGATAACTATTTGAGGTCAAAGATGGATGATCAGGGCTGGGTGCCCATTACTCTAATAGCATCCTTTCATCGAGTAAGTTACAGCTGAATTGCTTCTTTTGTGATACTTGAATCCGAATGTTTCGGTAATTTTTATTCTGATTGTTGATGCATTACGTAATGTGCTGCGAGATAGTTCGAGATTATTTCCATCTTAAGGTTCTTTAAATAATAAACATTTTAAAATTTACACTCTTCACCCACTTTCACCATTTTTTTCCACATATCTCCAGTACAACATCAGAATAATACCGATCCTCAATCATTATCACATATTTTCCTATTTCCATATTCATCTACTTGTATAACTCTAATTTCATTGCACTTGATGACGACTCATTAAAATGAAAACATTCGAAGACAATACCTATGAGTCTCTTATGCTCTCTATGTGCATTTGTGATTATGTGGTTACTGTTGGTTTTGCATTTGTGAAATTAATCATTAACAATTGCATGGTTGCATTCGTGATAATGAAAGTACATCAAGAGTGTCTTTATTGCCTGCCATTTTTTAACTTGTTTCAGGTCGAACAATTGACGAAGAATGTTAAAGTAATTTTGGACGCGTTAAAACATTCAACAGTCGTGGAATTGCAGGTTAGTTTTTCATTTGAAAATCCACAATATCAAAGGCTTCAAATATTTTTTTTATGGTTTATTTTTATTTTTGTAGGGTGAAAAGATACGGAGACATGGTACATGGCAAAAATGGCTACATTCTTCGAGCCGCCGGAACACTGGGGCTGGTGGTGCCGTGGATGTATAAGAGGCAAATGACTGAAAATTCAAGAACCTGTTCGTTTCGAGTGGCCGGGCTTGAGGAGATAAAGATCATAATAATAATAAAAAAAACCATCTTTCAACATAAAACGGAGAGAGAAAAGGAGAGGGAAACCATAGATTTAGCGACATTTTTTATTTGCCACAAACTTAGCGTGCGATGAATATTTTGGTTGTGCGTATTTGAGGGGGAACATCGTTTGTTTGAAAGCTGATAAAACATGAGTTAGTTTGTGGTTTTACTGGGAATAAATTTTGTCTTAATACTTGCAGATTGATCCCTATTTTTCGAGATAATACATGTTTATTTACGGAAATGTTACGGTCCCGTTACGGAATCCTCTCCGTCGGATTTTTTAGCGTTAGATTATCATGAAACTGTCATGAATAGTTGATTTAACGGTTACAAATTCCAAAGGAATGAATCCGTAACGGGACCGTAAAATCTCCTGTTTATTTATACATTTTAATATGTTGTTTTTCTTGCTTATAATTTGATCAGTAATGTTCCGCTACCCACGGTAGGTCCTCTTAGGTGGCATATTAACATCACCAATGTGTGCATGCCACATAAACGGTGGACATATTAACATGTGCCCACATAAGCATTATTCATAATCTAATTTGCTCGATTGCAATGTGCGATGATAAAAAGAATTTTGTGTGTATAGATCACGAATAGAAAGAAGTAGTGATTACAAAAGTCAAACTCAGAATTAGCCAACAGTTTCCTACAACATTAATCTCTACAAAAACTATTCATTCAAATTAGTAAAAATTCACCAGCCATCACCCACCTATTTTTTGCAGACGACTCTATTATTTTTTGTAAAGCCAATTCCTCTAATGCCAGATTCCCCAACCTCTGTGATTGCTGAGATAAGCTCTACTCTTTGTGGAATTTCAGTGGTCAAGTCTTCTAGGTATTTAGGTCGACCCCTCGGCGTAGGCAGCTCTAAAAAAGAAGCGTTT